GAGGCGGGGAGGCGAGGAGAGGGAACTCAGCCTCAGGTTTTCTAGCCAGGGATGAGGCCCAAGGCTCAGAGGTGCAGCACCAGCTTGGCATCGGGGAAGCCCTGGATTCCATCTCCAGTGGTGGGGCTGGGAGTGAGGCTGGGGGAGAATGGGCTTCTTTCAGAATGAAAACTCTGCATCCTAAAATGAAGGACATAGGGTCCCAGCAGCATTTTTTACTTTTTAGTGGTGCATGACACAATGATGCATCTTATAAGCGATGGTGAATTACAGTCAATGAAACAGAATGCTGTTATCCTTCGTTTTGGTTATCTGGTGCTTTTAAACCTTTACTGTTTGAGTTTTTACCTTTTACCCTCCAGCAACTAAAGATGACACAGCCTTGGCTGGCAGAGTGGCTCAAGTGGTAGGGCACTGGCCTGGCAAGCATGAGGCCCTGAGTTCAAACCCCAGTGCCCCCCACCCAAAAAAAAAAAACCAATGACCTTGTTCTACTTCTCATTGTCTTTTGCACTCCCACTTGTTTGTTTGCTATTTTGATTTTTGTTTTTTTGAGACAGAATCTCACTATGTAGCCTAGGCTGGCCTCAAACTCATAATCCTCGTACCTCAGTTTTTTCGAGTGCTGGGATTACAGGTATGCATCACCACACCCAGCTTCCTGTCAATTTTTTCTTAGTTAGTTGTATCATTTCTCCCTTGCTCACTGTCATCTGTGGCTGAACCACTACTGCATACAGTCATTTGTCCCTGCTGCCCTGGCTGGGCAGGGGTGGGCTGGGGTGCAGACCTGGCTTGGCTACCTAGAAGTAACTGTGACTAATGGAGTGGGGATTGTGTGCTCTGACCATCCAATTTCAAAGAACTAGAAGATCTTAATAAAGAAGAAAAGAGGTTCATGCCTGTAATCCAAGCTACTCAGGAGGCAGAGATCAGGAGGATCACAGTTTGAAGCCTGCCCAGGCAAATAGTTCATTAGACCTATCTCAAAAAAACCATCACAAAAAAGGACTGGCAGAGTAGCTCAGGCGGCAAAAGCTCTGCCTAGCAAGCATGAGGCCTGAGTTCAAAAACCCTAATGCCACCGAAAAAAAAAAGAAGAAAAGAGGGCATGGGATTTCTGAGTTTAAACCCCAGTACTGTGCCCTCAAAAAAAAGAGAGAAGGTACAGGCAGGTCCCATCCTGCGTCCTAGCTTCACACAGTCACGCCTCTGGCCCCAGGCAGGAGAGGGCCATGGGGTCATGTTTTCTGACAAAGACTGCACAAGAACACATGGTCACCCACCCGTCCAATGCCTGTCTGTTGAGGGCCTGTTCTTAGCCTGGGCTCTGGACCCGTGTTGCCTCCTTCAGTCCCTGCATTAACAGATGCGGAGACCAGGGTGGGGATGGGGGGCCGGAGGAGGAGCTCAGCTGCATGGCTAGAGAAGGTCACATGACTGGGGATGGATCCTCCATCCAACCTGGGCTGGTGGCTTGCCACCTAGTGGTCACAGACCCATAGACTTGTGCCATCCCAGATGGGCCCCATACCCTGGGGCCTGGAAACCCCAGCAGGGTCAGCCATGAACACTGAGGGGCCCACCCCTCTGTGTGCCTCCACACCTGTCAACTCCTGGATTTGTCACCTTCCCTGGCTCCGTTCCTCAGGTTCCCTAATACTCCTCCGTGTGTCCTTGTGCCCCCAAGACCCTGAGAAAAGGGAAGGAGCACCTAGCTGTTCCCTGAGAGCCACTCCATCTTGTCTGTGTCTGCTGAGCTTGGACCCTGCAGGAGCTGCACGGGTAGGAATGAGTCAGACAGATGTTATGGACAGCATCTGCCCCTCGGGCTCAGATAGTGAAAAGAGCAAGACCATTTCCAGAGGGTTACAGGCAGTGCTGTGTGCTGTGGCTCTACCCTAGTCCCCCACTAGTGCCAGCGCCCAGTTCCCTGGACAAATGGCCTGTACCCCAGGAGCAGCCTCTGTCCAGTAACCAAGCGTGGGTCGTGGTTGGGACAGCCCCGAGCGAGCTGGAGTTCTCCAGGAAAACAGATCCATAGGCTGAGAGCAAGGGAACGGGATGTCCCCATTCAACAAATGTGGCAGGAGGAAAGGGGCTTTCATTCTGTTCGGGCCTCAGTGGGTTGGATGGTGTCGTGGCAATGGGAGGCGTCACCAAATGCACCTCTTTCATCTGGGAATGCCCCCATAGGCACATCCAGATGCCATGTTTAGTCTGGGCCTCCTGAGTCACGTTCACATAGCCACTGCAGACACCCACACGCTGATCTGGACATCTTTGAGGGACATCCCAGTTCTGGGTTCCTATGGGACCTGATGGGGCCCCTGTTGCAGCCACCACACACCCAATCTCCCTCTTCTCCATCCTTCTCTTCCCCCACACTCACCCTTCCGGGACCTGGAACACTCCCCAGTCCCTGTGTGTGCCTCCCCAAGTCTCAGTCTGCCCAAGTGAAGTGACCAAGAGGAGGGGGTAGAGGATGGCTACTCAGGCCAAGTGGCCAGGGAAAGCCCCTGAGGAGGGGACCCATGAAGCAGAGACAGCAGACATCTGTGCAGAGGGTAAGATGGCAGACCTCAAACTTGGGTCGCACCCAAGTTCCATGCCCATGTGCTCCTGACCCTCTGGGACCTGGCTAAGTCACTCTTCTGCCCAGAGCCTCAGTGTCCTCATCCATGACCTGAGGACAGGAAGAGTAGGAGGGATTCTCCCCTGGAGCCCAGAAGGGAGCGTGGCTCTGCTGGCACCTTGGTGTTGGACTTCTGCCCTCCAGAACTGTGACAGAATATCTGTGTTAAGCCACCAAGTTTGGCAGCCACAGGACATCAGTACAGGGAACTTGACAAGAACTGGCCCATCCTCATCCTTGCCCCACCCGCATCACTGGATGGAGACTTTTATGGGTACTGTGTCCTACTGGAGGCCTGTAGGGTCCAGGCCCTACCTTTAGGGGGTGCTCACAGAGGTGTCCCACACTGCAGGCCTGCTCCCAGCAACCCCCCGCGCACTGCTGTGGGGCCGTAACTGAGTCTCTTCCTCTCTCCTGGTCTCCGTGTCCTCTTCAGAACATCCAGTTCTGATGCTCAGCTCTGGTGCTTTGTGAACCACTCAGTTTGCACCCAGTCTGGAGGTGAGGTTCAGTATGAGCTGGGTCTGACCATCCCCAGGACCTTGTCCTTTTGGGTCTTGGTCAGCCAAGGCTGAGTCAAACTGGGCTGCACAGGGGACCCAGAGAAGGCCAGAGGGGCAGCTCAGGCAGGGGCAGGTGGGGATGCAAGCCATGAAGGGGTGCCAAGCCCCAGGTTGGAAATCCTTTTTCTGTACTTGGCCCCCTGATGTTGATGCTCCCCAAGACAGACACTAAGCTCTGTTTCCACCAGGCTGCACATCCACCTGAGATGAATCACAGGGATCTGACAATGGGGAGCCATGGGAGGGCTTAGAGCAGGGAGTAAACCACAGTTAGCATGCTAACTGGAAGTGTCTCCTGGCTTCACGGAAGGAAGTCTAAAGCAAGAAGAGGCAGCAGAGATCTGCCAGGCTTGGCTGACAAGGGCCAGGGCTTGGGCACAGCTGCAAGGCCCATCTAGGGGGACTGGGAGCATGCTTTGGACTTGAGGTCACACAGATATTGAACTGTGGCCAACTTGGCCTTGTACACAAGTTTCTAATCCTGGGTCTTGGGCTCCAACACCAAATATGGTGCAGCCTGAGTCCATCACCCCCAATTGTGGTCAGGCGTGGGTTTAGGCACATATCCTGCCCCCACAGTGGCTCGACCTACCCCACACCATGATGGGGTTAGATCATTCCAGCACTAGGGGGGCTCCCAAGCAACTAGGGGCTCTGTGACTTACTGCACCCTGAGGGCTGTCCCTCTATTTGTCTGTCTTCACCCATCAGTGTGACTCACACCGGTTAAAAATGTTCAGGACCAAAATAGCCTTTCTTCCCAAGGGAGGAGGACAGGCTGGGAACACGATCTGGTTCACACCCCAGCTCTGCCATGCCCAGCCTTGGCTGGGGGTCCCAGGCAGCCCACTGCCCTCTGGTCCCCAGCATTTCTCCCTCCCTGGCTCACTGGTCCTCCTGATCATCACCACTCTTCCTTGCTGGCAGTCAGTGATTTGCTCACTCACTGGTCCTCTCCCCCATAGTTCACTCGCTGATTCACCAATTCCATTCCTCACTCCCTTGCTATTTATTGACTGAATGTCAAGAGCTGGGCACAGTTCTAGATGCCGGATAAACCACTAAGCATACCTATCCTCCCTGTGTTAGGTTATACATGACCCAAAGAAGGAAGTAAATGGCAGTAAGTCAGCATATGTGCTAGAGGGGATAAAAAAGTAGGGGCCTGGAGGTAATGGGGGAGTTGGGATTTTCGGGAGACTCGGGGGGCACCTCCCCCCGAGGAGTGGGAAGATGGTTTGTGGCAAGGATGAGCCATGTGAGCATTTTCTGGAGAATGTTCCAAGCGAAGGGAGTGGCAAGTGCCAGAGTCCTGCGGCATGAGGGTCTGAGAAAGAGCCAGGAAGGCAAATGTGGCTGGAGCGGGCAGAGCAGGGGCTGGGGAGTGGGCAGGATGGAGAAAATGGAAAGTGAGGTCTGGGGTGTGGGACACACACAAAGCTTGGTGGATCTGGGCCTCGCACATTATCAGGGTCAGTACGGAGGAGTGGAGGGAGGCTGTTTTTTATGAGATGGGGTCTCACTTTGCTGCCCAGGCTGGTCTCAAGGTTATGGACCCAAGTGGTTCCCCGCCCCAGCCACTTCGTCGCGGCTTTGACTTATATTCTTCGATGAGAATGGGCTCATTCAGGGTGGTATTGCCCTAGACCTGGCTTGTAACTTTTAAAGTGTCCCTCTGTCTGGCCAATGTGAGCTATCAGTGAGCAAGCAAGTCGATGAATTGGTGGCCTGCCCATTTGCCAGGAGGACCAGCTTCTGTGACCTGCAGCTACCTCACTGTGACTTCTCACCATCTTTTGCAGATGGACTGGCAGGCACCGAGGGCGCATGGAAGGACCTTGTTCCTATTGGCAGAAAAGGCCAGCTGCTGAGCCAGGCTGCATCTCCAGGAGCCCGTGGCTGCCTGGACTCGCCTCGCCTGCCCTGCATGGGCCGCCGCAGGCTGTCAGTTACCACTAGTGACATCACAAGGCTCCCTGCCCTCCACCCTGGGGGGGTCAGTCCAATTGTTGAAGTCCCGGGCTCCCTGCACCAACCCCAGGCTGAGGAACAGCTGCTCACTGTTCCCAGTGTCCTGGGAGGGAGGTGAACTCCCAGTTCCTCACCAAGTTGCCTAGCTCCTAAAGTAGAAAATGATGCTCTTGTCCCCTGGGATTGCCTGGGGCCCAAGGGCTGTGAGTGCAGCTGGGCAGCCGGGGCACAGAGGAGGCATAGGGTGAAATGGTGACAGGGACTGCAGTCACCAGTAAATGTACAGGTCACCAGGTAGAGTCCTGCCAGCGCACCTCTCTCCCAGGCAGGGTGGTGCAGTGGTGAAACTGTGGACCCCCTCGCCCCCACTTACTGGTGACGGGGCTGTGTGAGGTACTGAACCTCTCTGTGCCTCTGTCTCTTCATCTGTAAGACGGAGGTAAGCGTGGCCCCCATAGGGTGCTTGTTGGGGTTAATAAGTTACTATGTGTGAAATGCTGAGAAAGTCTCCAGCTGTGTACAAAATAAATAATATTATCAAAATGGATAAATAAATGTATTTTATTTATATGGTCATGGTGGTACACGCTGCAATCCCAATACTTGGGAGCTGAGGCAGGAGAATCAAAATTTAGGGCCAGCCTGGGTGACTTAGCAAGACCCCATCTCAAGCAGTAGATGCTTGCCTAGCATGGGTGGGGCTTGGACTCCACTATTCCTGTCCTGCAGGTGGAGAGATAGGTTTCAGAGAGCTCAGCTACAGCCCCATGTGTCACCACCAGCTCAGGCAGGGTTGAGGTCCCTGTGCCATCCAGGCCCTCACACAGCCCCAGACCTGGAACAAGGCCCAAACCTGTCTTGCCCCCTGGCCACCTGAAGGACACTTGGGAATATTCCTAGTGACCGGCCTGAAGACATCACCAGGAGATGGTGAGGGCCCAAGGTCATGGCCAATAGCAAATCTCCCTGTCTCTTCCCACTCCTGACCTGGTCTGTGGGAAGCAAGTGCAGACAGGGCCTGGGGCCCAGGAGCCCCTCATGTCTGTGGCAAAAGGCCCTGGACTCAGCGGATACCCATGTGCCTGCAGTAAGCACCAGCCTGTGAGTAAGGGTGTCGCACTGCCCTTCAGCAGGCAACCCCAGTCTTCATGCTGAATGTCCTCAAGGCCAGTTAGTGGTTTGCCCTTGGATGAGCCCCAGGCCTGTTGGTGGATCTGAGGGTGCATGAGTGGGCTTCACATGACAGGCTGCTTGCCCAGCAGGCCGAGCAGGACAGGTATTGCCAGGCAGAGAGGCCTGTGTGCCATGTGGCAAAGCCATCACTGACAGTCTTTGCATGTGTGGGCTGCACACCGTGGGAAAACACTGGCCCAGGCCTTGGAGCAGAAAGGACCCTGCTCGGACCTCAGTCCGTGGCCCCTGCTTCGTTTTACTGGTGAGCAGCTAGCTGGCTGGGGTTCAGCCTGGCCCTGTTTGGCTCAGAGCCCTGGGCTTTGGAAGCTGGCGATGGCTCTGGCCACTGTCCAGGAAACATGTTTCTTGTGGGTCGGGGAGGCCTGTGGCCTGCCTGCCTGAGTGCTGGTGCCCCTTTCTTGCAGACCAGTCAGTTCCCGTGGGCGACTCCTGCTGCGATCTCGGGGGATCATGCCCAAGCCCCTCAACTGCTTGCTGTGGCTGCTTCGGGGCGCCCAGACACGGGTCTGCACCCTGTTCATCATTGGCTTCAAGTTCACGTTTTTCATCTCCATCCTGATCTATTGGCACATCGTGGGAGAGCCCAAGGATCAAATGCGACTCTATAACTTACCTGTGGACATCCCCTGCCCCCGTGTGGACCCTCCTCCCTCGCCCTCCAGCACCCCGACTCCGGGCCACATCTTCTTCCTGGAGACATCTGACCGGACCAACCCAACTTTCTGTTCATGTGCTCGGTGGGAGTCGGCGGCCAGGGCCCACCCTGAGTCCCGGGTGGTGGTGCTGATGAAGGGGCTGCCTGGTGGCAGTGCGCCGCCCTGCCCCGTCACCTGGGCGATCTCACTCTGGGCTGCTTCCCAATGTCCAGATGCTGCCCCTGGACCTGGAGGAGCTGTTCCGCGACACGCCCCTGGCGACCTGGTATGCAGCCTTGCAGCCGCGCTGGGAGCCCTACCTGCTGCCAGTGCTGTCTGACGCCTCTAGGATCGCGCTGCTCTGGAAATTTGGTGGCATCTACCTGGACACAGACTTCATCGTCCTCAAGAGCCTGAGAAACCTGAGCAACACGCTGGGCACCCAGTTCCGCCTACGTCCTCAACGGTGCCTTCTGGCCTTCGAGCGCCAGCACGAGTTCATGGCACTGTGTATGCGCGACTTTGTAGCCAACTACAATGGCTGGATTTGGGGCCACCAGGGCCCCCAGCTGCTCACGCGGGTCTTCAAGAAGTGGTGTTCAATCCGCAGCCTGGCTGAGAGCCACACCTGCCGCGGAGTCACCGTCCTGCCCCGTGAGGCTTTCTACCCCATCCCCTGGCAGAACTGGAAGAAGTACTTCGAAGACATCAGCCCAGAGGAGCTGGCCCGGCTGCTCAATGCCACCTATGCCGTCCACGTGTGGAACAAGAAAAGCCAGGGCACACACTTTGAGGCCACATCCAGGGCGCTGCTGGCCCAGCTCCACGCTCGCTACTGCCCCACGACCCACGAGACCATGAAGATGTACTTGTGAGGGGCCAGGCTGCCCCCACCACATCGGTGCTCCACGCCCTTCCTCGGGAGGCCAGGTGGGAGGGAGGAGAGGGGTCAGAGTGACCCCTGGGCAAGGGGCAGGACTGACATCTGCCCTTCCAGGCCAGGGAGAGGCTGTGGGACACTCTCTAGGCCAGAGCCCAAGGCTGACAAATGATCCAAAATCAGCTGGAGTGGCCTGGTGAGCATCCCGGACCTTCTAGATGGCAGCAAGAAAAGCAAACCAAACACTAAGACGCCTCGCAGGGCAGCACTGGGGAACCAGGGTGGCTGAGGCCGAGGTGCCCATGAGGGAGTTGGGAAAAGCCCAGGCAGAGAAAACGAGGAAGAGGGAAGGGCTCCCAGACAGAGTCAAGGAGTCCACCGGGGGACAGTGGGTGCCAACCCATCCCCGTGAGGCCAGGGATAGGGCAGTTTTGGAGGAGGGACTACAGGGTGGACTCACCTGGGTGACATGTGCCAGCTGCCCACTCCTACGGCATAGGTGTAGAAGTTCTTAAGGCTCAGGAAAAGCATTTTAAACACAAGAGAATAATAAATTACTCACTGTCATCAGTGCTTTGTGGTCGATGAAGTGCACCCCCTTACACTGCCCTTGTTAGGTCTGTCTGACAGATGGGGAAGCAGCTGGGCTGTGGTGACGTCACTGGGGTCACACAACCCACCTAGAGTGGAAGGGTTCAGAGGTCCAGCTACTGGCTGACTAGACTCTGTCCCCTGCACGATGGAAACTCCCGTCTCGCCCCACAGCACGAGTGAGAGGAGCCTCGTTTTCCAACTCATTCTTCCCACTTCCACCCCATAATAAGTCTGAGTCTGTTTTAACCTTAATGGGGCTAAATGAGGCCACCAAGGAGCCAGGGCAGAGAAGGGGGCCTCCTCACCCCAGAGGCCTGGCCAAGAATCTGGGAGGCAGAAGTGCCTGTTGGGAGCCCAGAGCCGGGCCAGAGGAAACTCTCTCCGCAGGGTGAGGCCCCAGCTGGCTCGAGCTGAGCCTCCTGGGAGGATGGAGACATCTACAGGAGCTCCAGGGCTGCTGCCTGGCAGCCAAGGGGAGAGGGGTTCATCGCGTCTGGACTTCCTTTATTTCCTGGTAAGGTGGGCTGCCCTGCTGTAAGGAGAATTCAAGAACAAGTGATGTTTTTGATGAAAACAGTGGATTGTAAGCCAACTATTTCTCCATCATAATGTTATTTTGCCACCTTTTAATAATTTTTTAGAATTACCGGCGGTACTTGGAGATATGTAGCAGTATATATTTGAACAACTAAGATCTCTTAGAGTTGAGCCATCGTAAGTGAAAGTCTACTCTGTGTCAGCTCACAGAGATGAAACGCTCCTCACTCCCTCACCCTAGACTCTTCCATGGCTCCCTACAGAGCAAAGCCTAACTCTTGAGCCCAGCCTTCAGGGTCCTCTGTGATCTGACCTCACCTCCCTCTCCATCAACACTCTGTATATTTTTGGCAGTACTGGGGTTTGAACTCAGGGCCTCAGCAGGTGTTCTACCACTACAGCCATTCCACCAGCCCCGCTATACATATTCTTGATTTCCCCGCCCAGCCATGTCAAGACATTGTTTCTGCCATGTGTTCCGACACATCTTCACCAATAAGCTCCTGCTGCTCCCCATGATGTCCCCTCCAGGAAGCCCTCCCAGACTGCCTTCTCCAGCCCCACAGCTCCCAGGTATCCTCCATGTTCATTGGATTCTTGGCCTACAAAAGTCTTGAAGATGGTATGAACAGTCCCTGTCAGGGTCTTTCCTGGGCTAGGCTCAGCATCTCGCAGGGGCTCTTCCAGGTAGCTCTGTGAGGGCCTCCAGAAGATCCTGTCGGCCCCTGCAGAGCCAAGTGCCCAGAAGGGAACAGTCCTGGCCTGCCTCTCCTGGGGAGCATCAGTAAGAGATCCTTGGCCACTGGGCACCTAACCCAGAGGGCTGGGCCAGAGCAGACAGGAGTGGCTGCCGCCCACCCACTCCACAAGCCCACAGTGCACCCAGGTCTTCCCCAGGCCTGTGTGTATAAATGAGATCCAGGAGGCAGCCCTGGCCACAGATCCTCATGTCATGTGCCATGCCAGGCAGGACCCTGTCCAAGATGGGAGAAAAACTGTCAGATGTTCCTGGCATCTGTCCTAGAATCTGGGCAACAAGGCAGAAATGCCCCTTTGCCCAGCAGTCTCGGGGGGGAGATTCTCCCCAACTGCTTTGCCCACCCTCCGCTGGGCCTCTTCATGCAGCTGCTGTAAACTGCTGGGTTCCAGCTGGCCAGAGATGACAGCACCCTGGAGAATAGAGGCCGGGCTGGGAGGATGGGACGGAGAGAGCCTCGGAGGCAACAGGGGAAGGCTGATTCAGCCAGATTGGGAGCCGGGGAGTTGTCCCCAGCTGGCCAGGACCCCAGTCACAGCACCATGTCTGTGCCCTTTGTCTGGGCTGTAGTAAGCGTGCTAATGTCCACAACAGAGCAGGGGCTCAGAGGTCCCCTTGCCTGCCTCTGTGCCTCTGAGCCCCGGTCAGAGCTCTGCTCGTTTCCTCTTTTGCATAGAGCTGAGTGGCCAGTACTTCTTAGCATGGTTGTGACCATGGAAGGAGCCAGCTGGGATCTGGCACCTGGCACAGACAGACACACTGTACGTGACTCAGAGTGCTGTTATCACACCCCTGCTATCCACATGAGGAAACTGAGGCTCAGCAAGTAGGTGGCAATGCTGCAATCTGAACCCAGACCTTGACTGTCCTGGCTAGGGCAGGGAGGAGGCAGGGCTGGAGCCGTGGGGAGTCTAGCACCAGCTTGCGGTGGGAGCTCTAACTTCACACCTCCCTGTGCCCAAAGACCACAGCCCCACATCCTCCGTGGGTGCCCCAGGCTGCATAAGGGGTCCCCCACCTTCTGCCTGGGCCTGATCAGTGAGCGAGACCCCACACTTCCTCCTGAACTATCCCTAGCTCCCCGATGCAAGATGCCCTGGCAGCTTCAGGCGGCCCTTCTCTGGAGAAGAACATTCATTTGGAACATTCGCTGAGCTGTGCAACCAGTTCTGGGAAAGGAAAAGGAGGGATGGCCCCAGGGAGCTGCCCTGGGGACATGTAATCAGATCTTCAGACCCCTGCGGTTTCCCTCGGGCTGGATTCTGGTGAGTGTTTACGGATGTTTTTGTTCGGGACTGAGGAAGAAGCGGAGGATCCATCCTTTATTGGGGTGCATGAGTAGCCTGGCCAGGACCCAAAACGGGCATACTGTCAATTGTTTAATGAGTCTTCCCGGCTGGCCAAACCCAGGCAAGCAGGGAAGTCATTTCCCAGCAGCTCCAGGCTACAGGACATAACTTCCCCATGCTGCCGTATCTATTCAACTTCTATATAGTCTTTTTAAAATGTTTTTATTTACTTTTTGCAGTCCTGGGATTTGAACTCAGGACTTCACCCTTGCTAAGCAGACGCTTTACCACGTGAGCCACTCCACCAGCCCCTATTCAACTTCTCGTTTAAATATTAAATCAGAATGTCCCCCTTCTGAGTGCCAAAGGAAGGCCGAGGATGGATGAGTACCTTGGGACCATGTTTCTGGAAGTCTGGTTTCACACGGCCAGCCCCAATCCTCTGATTCCATTCATGTGACAAAAACTCCCAAATCATCTAGCCTGTTAGCTGTGAGGGCTCTGCTTGTTTCTTGACCTGGTGCTGGGGACGTGGGGGTCCCTGTGTGAGAAGTCTGACAATCAGAGCACACCCAGCTTGTGTACTTCAAGACACAGACAGAGGCCATTTGGGGGGTGAGAGAGGCAATGCGGACCAGGACTGAACCTGGGGGAGCCCAGGACAGCCTGGCTCCTGGTTCCAGGGACTGGAGGGATGGGGACACGTGAGACACTCAGCTGAGATCCCAAGGTGCAGACTGAGAAGCCAGGCACAAGTGATGCCTCAGAAAAACCCGGTGGATGAGACAAAAGCCCAGTGCCTATCCTTGGGAGGCTGCTGTCCCCCAGAGAACACATCCTGGAGAAGGGGCCACAGCAGGTGTGGAAAGGACCAGAAGTAAGAGTCCTAGACGTGAGCTGGGCAGAGTGGCTGCATCCTTCCGAGCAGAGGACAGAGGCTCAGTAAGAGACCCAAGAGTTAGGGCTTGCTGAACCCCGAGTCCAAAGTGCTGGCCGCTGTCCCTTTGGTCAAAGGCAGCAAGCCAGCCACTCCACCAGGTTATGGTCAGGGGTTGGCAGCAATTGGAGAGGACTTGCTGGGATCCTGGGGGCCAGTTGAGGCCCTGGAAGAGCTGGTGTGGCCCTTCATAGCCAGGAAATTGGGGGACTCAGCCATCTGCCCACTGTGGACAGAGCTGGGCCTAGGAGCAACGGCTCAGGGATTCTTTTGCTTCTCATGGGGCAGAGTCCAGTGGTCTCTGCTATCGGAACATGCACTCCCCTTGAGCTTGGGGTGGTGTCTTGGGTGCTGAGTGAGTCATGAGAAACTCAGTCCCCAGAGGCCCAGGGGCCTGCAGGAGAGCCAGGCTTCCCACAAACGTCAATCTTTTCCTGAGCCACTCCGGCCCCCGAAGACCTCAGTGCCCCCAGCCACCGGGGCAGACGAGGTGGGACAGGCCTCCAGACCAACAGGGTGGGGAGGGGCCAGGTTGTGTCTTGGAACTTAGTGCCCGGGGCCCCTGAGACATCCTCCTTCAGGTTACCCACTTTGGGTGAAGATGTGCAAACTGGGGCACCAAAGCTACCCATCAAGACTGAAAGACTTTGCTTTCTCCTCAGTCCGTCCAGTAAATTGCTACCTGAATTTAAATAAACAACAGAGTCTGGTTTTTGAAGACCAATTTTAGCCTCTTGGCTTTTCCCATTCTTCTGGGTGTTAGGTTATTATTATTATTTTTTTTTACAATTACTCTGTGAACTTCATTAATCACAGTTTTATCTAGTGACCCTTCCAGGGGCCATGCTACACCAACAGCAGGCCAATCTACTTCACAAAGGACCTTTAGCTTGTTAGCAGTTAACTCTGTAGTCTCCATTAAATCCCTTTTTAAACTTATTAATCATACACTCCAAGGGAGTGTTTTTACTCT